AAACCTTTAACCGTAGGTTCACTGACTACTTTCTGGAAGCGAGTTCAAGCGCTCGATAACTATACGCGATAACCTAGTTTCCGCCCTGATCCGGTTAGAACGCGGTTTGTGTAGCTTCATGGGATGACCGCGAAGACAAGGCTACCTAGCCGGGCTAAACAGCCAGCTTAAGTCCGATCCTACCTTCCCCGTTTAAATGAGGTAAGTAAGGATTAGGTCTCCTCGAAGCCGTCGATAGTGCATTGAATACATACCCAAACTACGTAGACCCTCGGGGTACGATTGCCCCCGTAACCCCTCGACCAATTTGGTACCTACTCTCGAGCTCCATTTTGTCCCGAACAAGGCAGGGCGGGCAAGCCTGGACGCAGTATTACAGGTAGGGCCGAACGAAAACAGAACAGCTTCACAACTATGTCGGCAGTCAAGACCCCGAAAGAACGGCGTATTAACCACAACATTCTAAAACCCCTAATGGCGGCCTTATTCCAGTTGTCACCAGAAAGCAGACGAGAAATGGACAACGTCTAGGTCTACCTAGTTGGAGACAAGGGGGAGTTCGACCCCACCGAGCACGTATCACGAAGGTGGGAAAGTTGCTCCTATACGAAGGACGGAACGCAGCCTGATTAATGGGCAGTAGCCACAAAGTAGACCAATCCCAGTTTCGGTTCAGGGCATGCTGAATGGCCTCAGAACCCCAGGGACATTTACAACATTCCATAGGTTAGGGTCATCAGCAAACAATAGGGATGATACCCCAAGCTCTCCAGGAAAATTGTTTACATAGATGGAGAACAGCACCGGTCCAAGCACTGTGGGACACCGCTTGCCTAAAGGATAATCTGCGACCCAGACGTACACGCTGCTCACTTCCCTGCAAGAATGCAGATACCCAGTGAAGGGAGCGGCCAGATATGCCGTAGGAGCTCAGCTTTTGTGATAGCCTCAAGTGGGGTACTTTATCAAATGCTTTCGAGAAATCGACGAAAAGCACATCCACCACGTGGCCATTGTTCACTGCCTCGGCCCAAGCTTTACCAGCAACCAACAAATTCTTCAAACACGAAAACCCCTTCCGGAATCCGTGTTGTGCACTACTGAGTAGATTAAATCTATTCAAGTGACCTTCCAACGAATCTCTCACCAGTTTTTCAAGCAGTTTGATCACGACGCTAGGCAGATTGACTGGCCTATAATTGGCTGTCAGACTCCTGTCGCCATTTTTGAAGAAAGGATAGATAACAGCCTCCTTCCATTCGGAAGGTAATGTACAGCTATCAAGTGATTTCTGAAACACTATCGTCAGCGGTCCACTTAGTTCCACCGCCAACTCATGCAGAAGCTTCGGGAGAATTGAATCAGGTCCAGCTGCTTTAGAAGGGTTCAGTTCTTGAAGCAGCCTAAGGACTTGCGTTTCCATCATAGTAAATTCAGCTAAGAACCTTCAGGTACTCTGGGGACAAGTTCAACGCGGCCTCACGTACAAAAGCCCCTGCATACTGCTCAGCAAGTAAGCGAGTCTTGTCTGAGTCCGCATACGCATGATTTCCATCGATCCGCATCAAAGTTGAAAGTGCCGAATTTGAATCACAGCGTCTTTTAACATAAGAGAACTTTTCGGATATCCTTAAGCTCCATCAGCCAATTCCTTTTCGTACAACAGCCGAGCTTTCCTTAAGTGTTGTTTACACCTATTTCTAGCCTCGCGGTAACTATCATAGGTGCTAGTTGATGGAGCCACACGGTAGGTCCTCCAGAAACTAGAACGCTTCTGGACCAGGTCCTTGCTAGTGGTATCTATCCACGGCAGCCGTGCTCGTGTTTTCCCGCAAGCAGGATGTAGGGATTATGCACTTCCGTGAGATAAGATTTAAATTTATCCCAGGCCGCCTGAACCGTATCGGCCACAGAGATTTCGCAGCGCAACCCAGAAGCCTGGATACGCATTACATGATAGTTAGCATGCCATATGTTTGGATATGGCTCAGCGTTGCTCTGGTCAGAGTACACCTGAATGATAAACAGACATGACCATTGGCACCTAAAGGGAGAGCTGTAAGTGATGTCACCTACGAGGTCTAGTGAAGTGGCAAAAACTAGATCCAAAATAGACGGTACTTGGGCATCCATGTACCTAGTGGAGGTCCACGAACTGATGCAACGGTACTTGTAGCGTAAGCTCAAGAAGATCTGCACCGAAAGTACCTTCCGTCGAGTTGCAAGAAAGATCTGCTTAGCAAACTTCCGGTAGATTGAAGTCCCCCCAGTATCAAACACCTGTTTACGGATTGGGAGCGAATAAAGTCAAGCACTTCTTTGGACGGACTACCAGGGCTTCTATACACAATTACAACTGTAAGTTGAGCTGAGGAAGTGCTAATCACTACCAACAGAGCTTCGACAATTTTATCTGCCGACTGAAACATGTAGGTACGCAAAATGTTAAGTCCACAGCTAACGCAAAGCCCCCGCCTTGTCGGCCAACAAAGCGATCACATCTAAATAGTGCGTAGCCAGACAGATGTACTTCACCGTTCGTGATGTTCTGAGACAGCCACGGAAAAATGGAGTGACACGGAACTGTCGAAAGTGCGTGATTATATCCTAACTGGTTGATGAAAGTCGAAGAGCATTTCGCACTCGAAGAGATGAATTAAGCCTCGAGGACGGTTGCGTACTTTGTGGCTCTCGAGTCATCGCCTCCAAACGGTATGGTCAAACAATCTTGCGGAAACTTCATATGGGTCACAAAGGAAATTCAAAGATGAAGGCACTAGCACGCAACTACATCTGGTGGCCGGGAGTCGATCAAGAGATAGAACAACTCGTACAATTGTGTCCTAGCTGTCAAGAAAATAAATCATCACAATCTGTGTCAATGTTTCCATGGCAATGGCCCTCGCGCTCGTGGGACAGAATACACATTGACTTCTGTGGACCCATCGATGGCTTCATGGTTCTGGTGGTAGTGTACACCCATTCTAAGTGGAGCGAAGCTCAGGCAACCACACGCATGACTGGGTCGACCACTGTGCACATCTTAAGGAATATATTGGCTACACATGGTGTGCCGTGTACGGTTGTTTCAGATAACGGCCCGATGTTTACCAGCGACGAGTTTGCATAATTCCTACGTCAAAATGGAATCGAGCATGTCCTCTCGGCACCATATCATCCTTCGTCCAATGGTCTGACAGAGAGAGAGAGAGCGGTTGCGACAATCAAACTGGGTGTGGCCAAACAACACTTACCAACTAGCAAAGCTCCTGAAAGCTTCAGAGGACCTACTTGTGTATTTATATCCCCTGCAAGAACCATGATATCTGAACATGTAGCACTGCGTACTAGCGAATTCAGTCCGTGATAGAATGTGTCCTTGGCAGCATCAGAACTGCAGTCGGTGGGGCGTAATCAGAAACCACAAACAGCGTCTTGTACTAGTTCGTGAATCAACCTTGGACGATGTCGTCAAACGGGCTGCTCACCGGAATCCAATGAAACAACAATGACTCAGGCTTGGAGCTGATTACGATACTATTTCAGCTTGTCCAGAAGCTGCCGTACCAGTATCTGAGGATGCGTGCAACCAATAGCGAGAGGACAGGGTCGGTCTCGAGATAGCGTCGTAGAAGCACAGCAAAGCACCAGGTAAACACACAAACGTCTATCTCCGTTGCAGAAGGACGGTGAAGAGTCATCGATGACCACTTTGACGTCACCGTTCGACACAGTTTGGTGCAAGTAGGAGTCGCGCGCCGACTGGTAATGGTCCATTTTTCAAAAGGATTGGAAGAGAACTCACTAGTGTTTTATTACAATTACCTCTAAATCACACATGTGCACCATACTGCGACGGCGCACTGATCCTCGTGAGGGACGGATGCGCGAATTACGCCGGGTTTCGTCCCAGTATAAAGTACAATAATTACAATTTTATTCATCCATATGTGGGTGAACGTCACGATTCTTGCAAACAAATAACCTTTCTTGACCCGATGGCCCTAGATTTGGTCGATCAGATTTACTCGTGGTAACGCCTTGCATGGTTGAGGGAATTCTCCCTATTCTAAGGTTCCGATACCACGAGGCCATGATCATACAAGGGTTTAAGGAAAACTTCTAAGTTCACTACAATTGGAGTTTGTCAGAATTGCCTAATTTCACTAACTATCTGAGTTTATGTCGTAGTGACCACGAATGCTTTTCTCCCACTTCTCTTAGAATTGATGGTCTGCTGCATGAGTCATTAGAACATGGGTGGGACCACGCAATCCCCACTCAATAGACTGATGTGCAACACCGCGCGCTCCGATATGTGCCTTGCACCCGAAAAGTGCAAAATACCGTTAGAGGATTGGGCCAATACACCACCGATTGTGGCGTCCACCGAAAGACAAATGAAAATGGTCAATCGGACCACTTGCTTTAGCAGTTGTCTTACTTCTGGTGGCCATGCCATAGATGTGAACTTTCAGAACTCCGATAAATCACAGAGAAGGCGGATTATAAGCACATCGATTGAAAAAATGTTTACATCCCTGTGGTACGGGGTCCTCAGAGTCGATAGTTAGGCACTACAGCGGTTATAGCGCACTATTCCGTGTTACCCTCACATTCGCTTCATAATTTCGGACACCTGACAATCCAACTTATGATTCCCATTCTTGTTCATTCCTCTAGAATTACTAACATTAGTGTTAACACTGTTAGTCTAGCGTCAAGACGACTGGATCTAACGTACGTAAGTGAACGGATCAAAGTTGACAAAGAGGAGTCCGCGAAAACCCAGTGAAGTAATACCCCAACCCGTTCCAAGCTTGGAAGGCTGGTGAACAAAATGGAGGACTTAGCAACACCTGCTAGTTAGAGTGGTCACTCGGTGACCGCGCCCCGTCACATACTAGAGTTCGATGGATCTGAGATATGTAGACTGCCGTAACGCATAGTTTTCAATCAGAAGCGAAGCAAGAAGGCATGGTGAACAAAAGCACGCGCATGCGAATGTGTACCGTTTATTCACTGTGCATAAAAATCGGAATAGAAAAGTCCTCAAATCACGAGACCGGTTTCAAGTGAAGCGCTGTAATTCTGGCACGAAAAATATCGCAGTTGAAAATCTGATCAGATAAGCCACTGGAGTACAGAAGAAAAGCGGCGCTAAACTAGAGTCAATACATAAATCGTGGTGTCAAGGAGGTAGGCGTGCACCGGCGTCTAGACGAATCACCTCGCCGTTGAGCATGTGATTTTGAATCACCGTCTCGACAAGGTGAGCAAACTCTTCTGGCTTGCCCAAACGATGCGGACTGAGAGCGAGTTTAATCAAATGCGCGCGGGAGGGTAGGCCGTCGAGCATAGGAGTCTCAAAGATACCTGTGACGTTTGGGGTGGAGAGAATTTCAGAAAAGCAGCTATACAAGGTTGTAGTGCATCTGGAGAAAAGTACACAACAAATACAAAGAGAACGGAAATCACAAATAGATAAGTCTTCCGGCTGCGTCTAAGCGAACGACGGATGCATTGAGCATGGGATTTTGAATCACTTGGACGACTAAGTGTGCATACTCATCGGGAGATCCGAGACGGGATACAGCCAACTGAACGTCATTAAGATAGCACAACGTTTCGTCACGAAAACTTTTATGCCCCATGATGGTCCGAGAGTTGAGTAAGCCTGAAAATAAACCAGAATGTTACTTCCGATTGTGACAAGTTAAAGCATTGAGAAGAAAAGAATCAACTTTGAGAAACTAGGTCAATGTAATGCATTTTAAAGTGCTTTAGGTCCATTAGGAACAGCATCGAAACTCGTTTGTTTATTCCAATTGCGGAATCGATATGTTATAATGTAGCAAGCCCTTCCAATACTAAATGAAGCTTCGCAAGTTTGCAGATGTAGATCAGGCGTGAAGCACGTAACGTTACAGACAAAGTTTGTAGGCAACTCACATCCTTTAAAGGAATGTCCAGAAGATTGATGTTGCAGGTGATATAGACGAATAACAGTAAAGTCAGTTTCGAAGACAGACTACGGTGACCGAGGTTGTGAACTACGCCATGACCTCGAACATCACAGTTGCAGTACTGCTTCCTGATAAAAACGTTCCCATCGCCTCACATGGCGTCTACCGAACGCAGAGTTATCCTAAACCAAGAATAACCATATTGTGACCATTAGTAAATGGCGTACGGGTGCAGTGCACTCATCGACATGACCTCCGTTCAACACCTATCTTCGAAGCTTTGCGAACGTTACCTGAACTCGGTGTTGGCAATTCAGCACACCGTTAAGTTGATCCGGTCTGTCAGCTACCAATTGCGAAGGAGGACAAATCAAACATGAATTGAATAGCGCAAAGGAGCCCAGGAGATGGCGTTCGAAGCCGTTTGTCCAAAAGCAACATGAACATCTTGACTAGGGATGAATTTCTAAAGTGTCGATTAGTGTGATTAAGGCAGGCAAGTTGAGTATGTTGTGAATACAAGATCCGGAATTTATGAATTGGTCGGGCAGTGAGATGGAGAAACAGTGTGACCAGGAGCACGATTCCAAGAAAGAAACGGGTTGGAAAAAAGCAGAGAAAAGCGGGTAGTTGATTCATTCTCAAACAGGCCGGCGGAGTGGGGCACTGAGCGGGCAGCACAGTGAACTCCTGTGGCCCTATCGTTTTCGGAAACACTTGAACCGCCATGGGAAGTCAACGTAACACATCTCAATGTGGAATATGTAAGATGTGACGTTACTCTGATGAAGTGAAACAAGGCCCAGAGACCTGATGACCATCTTCTATTGAACGAAAGGTCAAGGTGGAAGTAAGGACTTGTCTCTCAGCTCTAAGCAACACTGTGTGTCATACTCAAGAAGCGTATTCAAGTTGATTGTAGCAATCGTCATACTCAACTTCAAAAGGGATAGGTCTTTTGAGATTTAGTAACTTTACCGCCACTGGCTCCAAGATGCTTACAAATATCATCCCGGCTGCACGTGCAACAATTGTGATATATATCAACAATCTGCCTCAGCATCTTCGGTCATTCTGTGCCTTGTTTTCAGACGACCTGCAGATATGGACTGATAAGAACTTCCGACGACTGCGGCATACTTCAACCGCAACTGCTTTTCCATGGGGCCTCCAGAAGTCCGTTTCTCGGTCAACCCATACAAGTCGGTGCTCACAAGCTTGGTGAAGAGTAGTGACCGCCGAACCTACACACTTGAAGGCCAACTGTTACATCCTACACTTCGGGTGAAGGACATAGGCGTACACACGTTGCGAGTTGAAGTCCGTGAATAACACAAATAGATTACACCGAAACGGACTGAGCATGCTCTGGGCACTTAAACGCAGTTTCCGCATCTGATCTGAGGAGGAATCCATCCGCCTCTTCTCCATTAGAAGACAAATGCCAGAGTGCAACTCACCAGCCTATTGCCCGACCAGTCGAGGTGAGGCGCAGTAGACTGAACGGGTCCAACAAGTCGCTCCCAGGCTTATCGCCGTAGGAAGAGAGCTGAGAGAGACTGGAACTACACATTGGCCTACCGCCAGGTGCAAGTCGACCTTACAATAACCTACCGCATTAGGTATCTGGATAACTTTCCTATGCTGAGGCCACTGTTCCACTTGCAAACACTGTGCAGCACACACAGACACCAATATAAGCTTGTGGTTCCAGATCTGAAGCAAGTGTCCCATCCCATGTGCCTTGGACGGAGAATGGTAGATGTTTGGAACAGTGTGCCGGAGCATACAGTGAAAGCAAACGCAGTGCAGTAGTTCAAATGATTGTTTGATGTGCTTTTTTCCAAAGCTAGAGCCGGAGAAAGATTACCCATCGACATCTCACACTTGTGAGTCCTTATTTACTGTGAGGTACAGGTCTTTTTACATCACGCGAGAAATTGAAAAACGATCAGGGAATTAGCAGGTCATAGATAGCTTTTTAACTTTGATCATAATTCGATTGAGTTGTACAGATTCAAATTTCTACTTGCTCTCACAATACTGCATTCAGTCAAACTGGGGAGTATAAAAGGTTAGTGATAGGGATTATAGGACAGATGACAGAAACAGGTGCAAATGAAGGGGGCATCAGCGGTAGCATACTTTTGCTTATCCACCTGCTGCATGCAGCCGATAGGGCGACCATCTAAATAGTGTGTCATAGCTGATGCGGGATGTGCTTATATGTTAATGGAACACTGGTAGTTGCTTTGGTTGGCTTTCTGTTTATGCATTAGTGGTAGATGTGTTGGGATGCTACCAGAGTGTAAAAACTTGACAGGCGGTGTATTCGTAACGGTTTTACGCGAACTGCTAATTAAGTAGGGTAGGCTGTTAAAGTATCCACGGGATTAGATAGAGTGACGCAGAAAAGTGAAACCGGGAGAAGAACCGTGCTGTGTACACATCAACCAGTGTGGTATGAGACTGAACGTTCTTGACAAGCCGTAAGCACCTTGATCCTGAGATATGTGAGTAGTCACTTTACTCCTCACCTTACTGCCAGCGATTAAGATTAGCGCTAAGTACAGTTGGATGAGGTGAAAGAAAGAATAACAGAAATGTCGGTATTGACGATGCCTATTCTAATTTCCACTATATTCACCACTACTGTTTAAAGGCTAGTACCATGAGAATGCGTAGTTGTACCAACTGGACTCACTGCAATTCGGTGACTGGAGCAAACCAAAATGGTCAAACTGAATCTCTTGTCTCCAGACGTTGCACAAAGTCCACTGCAGAAAGCACTTTAGGGGACAGGAATTACGCAATCCTGCGTGAATTTATTGTGCCTAGAACAGTAAAGTGTTGAAACTGGAGCATAAAGCGGGGGAGGGAGACGATTTCGGTGTGATTTTCTTTAGTGGGTCAGTGATCGTTACGCTAAGCCGGGTCAAACCATGGTAGCTTAAGGAAAGGTACAGGTATCACATGCGGGTATAGGCGGCTTTGGTGACTTGCGTATCGACGTCTTTCGTTGTGAGTTAAAGAAATCACGGGAGCCAGACAGTAGGTAAGCAAAAAACTCGTACCGTCTCTGAGGGAAAGGAAGAGCACTGCAAGTGGAGACAGCCAAGGATAAAACAGGAGATCGCAAAACTTTTTGTATAGTTCCATAACTTTTGATGCTACAGATTTCCGAAGTAATAAGGTAGGACAACCGCGGTGAAATCTCAGGGAAACTCCGCAGCAAGTTAACCAATTTTTAACATTGAACTCGTCTAGCGAGAGGGAAACTTTATGTTCGCCACTAGCCATTCATGATAGGAGTAGACAGATGAAATAGCCAAAGCCAAACGCAGAAGGATATTTGAAACAGGACATTCTCTTCATAATTACGAAGAGAAAAATTAGAAGATGCAAACTATGAGATGACTCTGTCAATTCAAGCAAGCTCGTTAATCACAAGCATGCAAAAATTATAGTTATATAAAACGCGTTCATTAGCCAATCGTCGAGTCTCGCGCTACCACCGTAAGTTCAGATTTGTAGTCAGCTGCTTCTGCACGCAAAGTAGCGGCCGTTCTCGATCGATGGCGAGGGAATCCAATAGCCTGAGAACGTGCGGCCGCTGATTGGTCATCAGGACGGTGAATGATTAGGCAGGACTGACTCAGTGGTTGGTGTTACACTCAACCGAAATCAGAACGACAGTATTGCAAATGGAAGTTTAGTAGAAGCAATGGCAATAGTACATCGGCAGTCCACACTGGGTACGGATCAACTGTTTAGTTTTACGCAGTTCACATGTTTAAACTAAGCACTCGCTTTTGAACCAATCAATAAGCATCGCTGACTAGTCGGGAGATGGACACTTACGCACTAGTGCGAGCAATGCAGCTGCACAGGCTAGGTAGTGTAGCATGACCTTGACGCGCACGTCTGTCACTTCCCCCCCTTAGTTGGAGCTATCCAGCTTGGAAACGATCGACCGGTCGACGTCGGCGCTCAGGGCGCCGCAATTGTGACTCAGCTACCGGTTCGGCGTCACGCACGTGCATGTCGTTCGATGCTTGAGCCGGCTGCTCTGTCTCGGCAACTGTTTCTGTGTCAGACAACCTCGGTCGCACATGATCTAAATGGTGTCGAACGATCCTGCCATCCTCAGTCTCTGCTTCTATTATCTGTCCGTTAGTTGTTTTAACGACGGCTGGCTCCCACCCCCTGCTTGTAGGTAAGCGGATGTAGATGGGATCTGAATCTGTCACATGCTTGTCTCTGCTACAAGTATCAAAACGCTCTTTCACTCGTTGTTGTTTTTCCGAAACTTGTGGCTCAATAGATTCATGCAATAAATCCAATCGTGTACGCAGTCGACGACCAAACATTAACTCTGCGGGGCTTCTGCCTGTGGTCTCGTTTTGCATGTTTCGAGATGCGAACAAGGAACGATCCAAACGCACACGCAGCGGAGCATTTGGTTGTTTTATTAGCAGCTTCTTCACTGTTTGTACGGCTCTCTCCGCCAACCCATTAGAAGAAGGATGATAGGGTGCAGTTGTTATGTGTTTAATGCCGTTCGAGTTGAGGAAGGTAGAAAACTCAACACTGGCGAATGCTGGTCCATTGTCAGATACTAATGTCTCGGGAAGGCCAAATGTTGCGAACGTTGTGCGTAGTTTCTTTATAGTACCAGCTGAATTTGCTGAAACAAGAATATGGGCATCAATCCGTTTAGAATGGGCATCGATGATTAGCAAAATCATCCAACCTTCGTAGGGACCAAAATAGTCTACGTGGACTCATTTCCAGGGTGTTTCTGGCCACTTCCAAGGCTGCATTGGCGCATGAGGAGCGGCGTTTCGGGTCTCCTGGCAAGGTCTGCAACTTCCAACCTTCGCCACAATATCACGGTCTAATTCAGGCCACCACACATAAAATCGAGCTAACGACTTCGTTTTTGCGACACCTGGATGCGCATCATGTAGTTCGTCAAGGATACGTGACCGAAATTTCTTGGGGACAATAACTCGTGCGCCCCACAGCAAGCATCCATTCTGGAGGCTGAGTTCAGACACATCCTGTTACAGAAGGGCATGAGTTCTTTGGGGGTGTTGTCCGGCCACCCAACTTGGACATAGCGTTTGACCAACGATAGAACAGAGTCTCTGTCAGTTTCCTGACGTATGTCTGTACATGTGACTGGGGAATCATTAAAATGCTGGACCAGGTTTACGAGCTCTTGTGGGATAAATTCCTTCGATGGTGTCTCTGGTAAGGGAGGCCGGCTAAGAACATCAGCGGTGGTATTCTGTTTGCCTGGAACGTACTGAATTTCGAATGTATACGCAGAAAGAATAAGCGACCAACGTACCATTCTAGGTGAAGCCATTTGTTGAATACCTTTCTCGTGGCCGAGGAGGAAAACAAGAGGTTTATTATCCGTATGGATCAGGAAAGGTCGCCCGAGTAAATATTGGTGAAATCGAGTGGTGCCGAAGATGACAGCGGCTGCCTCTCGATCAAATTGTGAGTAGTTCCGTTCTGCTGGTGTCAGGGTTCTTGAAGCATAAGCAATGGGACGTTGAGGGCCATCCGGTAATTTGTGCATTAAAACAGCTCCGAGACCGTAAGGTGAGGAGTCACAAGAAAGAAGCGGATGCAGATGAGTTGCTGCCGATGGTATAAACCTGGAAAACGGAGTGACAACACCGAGGAACGACCGCAATTCATGAACATTTTTGGGTGCTGGCGCCTCAAGTAGCGCCTGTCTTTTCTATTGTCTCGCTAACGACTTTTCGATCACACCCAAGAGGCCAAGTGGACTGCCCATCGCAGCACTGTCGACATCTTTGCTAGTAAATAAAAGGTGATTTTTGTGCATAAAAATAGCATGTGCTGCAACATTTCCGTGGAGAGCTGCAGTCAGATATCATGTTTTGAGATAAACTCACACAGATGATAAGCAGTAACCTTCAGCGAGATGTTGGTGAAGATGGACAAACACTAAGCTAACACGTTAGCTTTCGGGCCAAGTTTAAAGATTCCGGATAAGTAAGTGGTTCGAAAGTGTTTGACAAAGCATTCATTACTCCGGATTTTCTGAAAGATTCAAGCACGTTATTCAGCCAATTGACAACGGCTTGGTACGTCATCATCATCAACACACGCTAGTTGAGGGTGAGAAACATATCACAGCTAAGGTGCCGCAATACAAAAAGGGAGATCCAAAAAATTACACTATAAAAAGATTGAAAAGCAAGTAATATCATGTTAAATATTCTAATATGTGGTTCGTATGAGATTGGAATTGGAGGTGAAACCTAAAGACGAGGGGGATGGACAAGGAAACTTATAACACAAACGCCATTGGGGCCGGCTCCAAGCCATATCAACAAGTGTGTCCAACCGAACGCGTTCATCGTCCTTAGGACCCCAGCCAGGCAGCCGGGATGCACCAACTCTCGATCGAGTCATCGTTTGGCCTCCTCTCTTCCTCTTCCAACCGCACCCGCAACGCGCAATGCACGTCGCGGAAGTCGGTGTGCCGGCATGCGCAACACGTGGCCCAGCCATCGGAGCCTGGCGCGTGATATAATGGTGCTAAGTGGTTCACTAGCTCATCCTGCATCAAATACGTGACACCGAACACGCTCATTGCGCACGCGGTGCTCCCACTAGACATAAGCTAAGCTGCGGAGGCAGCGATGATCGAACGCGACTAGCCTCTTTATGTCTGTTGACCTGATGAGCAAGGTTTCACAAGCGTATAAGAGGGTTGAACGGTCGGCTGCACTATAAACACTGCCCTTCAGGGCGAGAGTGATGTCGCATCTGCATCACAGGTGGCGTAGATTGGCAAAAGCAACTCGAGCTTTTGCTATATGGTGTGTGATCTCAGCTTCGATCCCAGGGGCGTTAATATAGCTTCCCAGGCACTTAAACTCCTGTAGAACTGCTAGCTGATCACCACTAAAAGTCAGCGCGTGGGTGAGTTCCTGCCAATCTTGAAGTACTTTGTATTTCGATGGAGCAAAGCACAGCCCAAAACAAGTGACAGCCAGTGCTAATCGGTTCAGTGCTATTTCGCACGTTTGGGGGCTGTCACAGATTATGGCAATATCGTCCGCATACTCCAAGTCAAGAAGTCGCTCACCAGGAAGGAGCTCCACACTTTCTATGTCGTGTCAAGCAAATGCTGTTTCCATGACGTTGTTAATAGCGAAGTTAGAGAGGTGACACCTGACAAGCTTGTCTCATACCGCTGGAGATAGTGAATAGCGGCGACAGTTTACCATAAAACCTCACACTGCCGAACTATGCGCGTGCAGCGCTTCGATAATGTTTAGGTATTTATCGGGCACACCTTTCCTTAGCAGACAGTCCAAAGAAACATCGGTCGACCGAATCGAAGGCACCTTTTATATCAAGAAACACGACAACGGTGGGTCGCCAATAAACATGACGGTGCTCCAACAATTGACGCAAGGTGAAGATGTAGTCGATGCAGCCCTGAACTCGACGAAACCCGACTTGCTTTTCACGAATGCCAGTCAGTCTGTGGAGAAGGACGGACGCAAGCAATTTAGAGGTAATTGAGATCAGACTGATTACTCTATGATTGCCGCATTGCGAACGGGAGGCTCCCTTGAAAATTGGGACTATGACAGAGCGGCTCCAGTCTGTCGGGACAGTTTTCTGCTCCCATACTTCCACTAGCAACTTGTGTAAATCATCTACAAGAGCAGGTCCGCCGAATTTAAAGAGGGGTGGGGGAATTCTATCTACCCTTGCGGTCTTATGCAGTCTCAACAATATGATCTCACGTTCGACTTTTGCGCGTGAGGGCAGATCTAAGGAAACGGCACATGGAGAAGGGCATCCAATGTCCTTTTGAGCAGAACGGACATTTGTGGAGTATGGGTGCCCATAGGGTTTAGTGCATTAGATATTGGTCTTGGGAGATAAGGCCATGAAATTTTAGGGCTTTCAGTTTGCGACAAACTTGCTTTTCAACCAAACGAATGGTGTAAAACGCAGTGCCCTGCGTGATATTTGTGCCATCCGACAGTATTGTCTTCATCTCACTTAAATAATCGGGACTAGCTAGAATGACCACTCCGGATCCTTTAGTAGACTTCGATGCAACGATATCATTGTTGCGTTCAAACTCTCAGATTGCTTTATAGTGCTCGACTGCTGTAGTGGGGTGCTGAAGAGATAAAGAGGATTAGCCACTAAACAATTTTTTAACCAGGAATTCGTGGTAGGGCATGTTGGATAAAGGGTATAAGCTGGCTATAGAGATTCTCAAACTTTGCATCGACAGATGATCGTAAAGCTGACAATAGGGCTGCATAGTCCTTTACTCTTTAGGCGCAAAACTCGTGGGCAGATGGAAAGTGCCGGTCAGTTGCTGAGCATGGATGCAATAGGACCCTTTTAACCATTGTCCGGTATAAAGTGCAGCAACAACTACCAACGGGTAATATTAGGTGAATAATTCTAGGAGCGAATCCATATTTATGGAGGACGGTGGAGGGTAGCCAAATGGCAACAATAACAGAATAAAGCAGCGCAACCTTGAAACAGGTGTAGTTGGTCGCAACCAAACGGTCTGTGTGAGATAATGTGTATATAGGACCTGTTCACGGTGGCCCATAAAGGAAGTGTGTGTGGGCACTGCGCAGAGGCATGAAGGTCTAAAACACCTGACGCAGCTAACTATCCCGATAGGATGAGGTGAAACAGATGTATCAACAAACACGTGCGAAACATGGATTCTTGAATTCGTGTGAGCGCATGTGTAATTGTGATCAACAGTATACAAGGTATGAGCAAGCTAGATGTACGTAAGTTGTGGATAGGATGCATTGTGCACTAGGAAACAGATATTTCAGAAGGCAAATAGAAAGCGTATGACAGAAGGCAAAAGACGTGTGGGACTGACCTGGTGCGATCGTGACCACACGGATTCCCTCGCGAGCCAGGTCGCGTGCGATGGGTAGAGTCATTCCGACCACAGCTCCCTTGCTGGCAGAGTACGCGGCTTGTCCGATCTGCCCGTCGTAAGCTGCCACACTGGCTGTGTTCACAATCACACCACGCAAGTTGTCTTCATCGGGATCATTTTCGACCATTTTTAAGGCGGCCAGCCGAAGCATGTTGAAAGTACCGATGGTATTAACCTGAAACGTGAAGAGCACCGTATCAAAAGGATCGAAATAAGGTAAACGTTTAATCCAGCTAAGCGAACATGGATCAAGTAGGAAATGCGACGGACCTAACCCACATTGTCACGTATAAAATATGCTAAAAAATTGCAAATACAAATTCCGTGAAATAGGTCAAGAAAACATTGAGTGCAGGTGATCGAGTGCAGGAACGCCATTGACCCCGCAACTGCGTCACAACTACGAAGCCCCACCCAAGAAGACGACCAGTACTGCCTAGACAAGTCCATTCAACCATATACTAATGTGATTTAGTAGAAGACAGTCACACCATAGTTTTGTAGAACCGTTCGTTAAAAGGACGTATTCAACAGTCTAGTAGATGAGAATGGATAAGATGCTCATTTTTGCCATTACTTCCATAACAAATGAGGAATTTCGACTAAATTCGTGCGCCAAGATAGAAGGAAGCAGTGTTTAGCTGCGTCAATTGTCACAGTCATATAACAAACAAATTCCAACAGATTTTAAAAGGTTCACGGTAAACGCCAAATATTTACACACAGGTACGATTGCTCCGTCCAATCACTGGACGGTTTCGTCATTGTTTGGACTCGTCACGGCGACTATTACAAAACCGAACAATTGACTTCCAGCTATGGTGAATAGCATTGATTGCAAAACTTAATCGTCTAGTAATCATGGCACTAAGCGTCAAGCACTCATGTTTATCGAAATTGCAGAGGTTGACTGGACCGCAAATCCACATAGGATTGTGGATCGTAATCCTTACACGGCAGACACTCCAAAACATAACAATCGTACTTCAGGTATTTGGCTGTATTGGATTCTAATGATATTTGTATACTCCAGTCATAAATTTGCTTTACTTATTGCAATTCGGAAGCACTGGCGTTCTGCAGGTTACTAGTGCGCTACGTTACTCTCTGCGCCCATCAAGCAGCTCTTAGCCTCTTTTAAGCCTGACTGGGTCCAGACGCGTTTATTTTTGTGGCAGCCTCATATTTGGCAAGCCTATTAAGTCATGGCCTGCCACTGATATATGAGTAGTAACCTGCAGAATTCGTTTCAAAGCATTTCGGACACCAAATACCCAACGGAACCGAATCTCCGCGCTTTAATCACATTAGCCAACGTCCATAGTTCCGATGTCGCAAGTTCCGGTGCTAAACTGAATGAATGAAAGTGGTTATTCCCTGGATGCTGGACGGGTGATAGTCCTTGGCGAGTCGTTAGCTCCAAGATGTTGTAGATTCAAGAGTGCAACAGAATCTTAAGACATCAGCAGTACGCCTGCACATAGTAGGGAGGTCTCGCTGCCACGCCACCAATGGTCGCGGGTGGGCTGGGTATACAATGAAGTAGCTCGCATCTACGTGGATTAAAACCGTCGACCTCAGGATTACAAGCCAAGTGCATAATCTTTTGGGATACCGGTCGACACGGAGTCCGGGCCAGCAGAGTGGAAGCAATTGAAGGCTATGATCGTATTTTGGGTCTCAGTCTCCACAATCCTAAACTAACTGCCCATGGGCCGGGCTGTAGTACTTGGGCAAAGGACCAGCTGAACCGTTTTGGGAAATGCTCTGCCATTCGATTCAGACTGTTTCTTATCGTGAACTACTGCACCAGTGGTGTCCTTGTTAGTCCTGCTGACGCATAAGCTCCTGGGAACAGCTGCAGAAGAACGTGGAGATTATCCACTGCTACTGCCTCTTCCATTTCTTTGATCATTTGGGTCTATAATGTTTCCCCGTCAACACACGCGCTGTTTCAGCCCGCGCCTGATAGCTCGTATAGTCATACACTGCACAGTATCCGCATGGATTTTCTAATGGATTCCGACATACTCATAGACCTCTGGGAAACCGTTTGTATGATGCCGCGATAACAGAGTGCCACGACAGGGGCTCCCGCATCGTGCATGGCGGCATCCTGATAAGCTTAGAGGTTCGAGGACACAGTCGACTTCGTAGAATTCAATCAAGGGACAAGTTCGTTACGCATCTCGTTAAACTTCGTAGAAAATCGGTGGCAAACTAGGGCATTATCGTGACTCCAAAATGAGCGGCAGTCTAGGGGAAGAAAACAAGCCTCTTGGGACCTATGGCGAAGCGATCCATTTGGGTCCATCTATAGACAGCTACTGGGAGATTCCAGGTGATTGAGAATGAGTGCGGTGCTGCTAAGAAACAGTTAGTGCCAGACGCACCGTTTATTGTCTGCCCAAAGAACTCAGACGGCCATGTGCAGCTATATCTGCAACTAGAACAAATATTTGAACCAGTAGCATTGCGAAGTGTCTTGAGTTTATGATAGGGAGTGCTTCTGGTAATTTCAGAACTGCGTAAGCATCTACAATAAATAGGCAACGTCCAACGCTGTTTCATGCGCTAAATTTGGATGATGTGCCAAGGCGGGTTGCACATAGTTGGTTGCTGATGGAGAGTCCAATGGTAGATAACTTAGCCTTAAAGCTGAGAACGACGTCCACCCGAGCTTGAGCTGTGGCAAAGGTGCGCATCTCTGGATGGATGTGACGAACACAGAGGCCTAAATTAAATAATAGGCGTTATGTACCCGACGGGGAACATTTTCATGTTACTTTGATAAAGCAGCGAGGGTTATTGAACTTAGGTTCAGGCACACAGCAAATGTGTAAGTAGACTGCTGATGAACGATGAAATTGGCCCAAGAAACAAGGACGCGTGATCGGATAAGGGGGTGTTTGTAAGTGGTCAGACCAACAACCGCGTGGTGCAAGCTGGGTAGTTCGGGGTCATCACGTTTCAGCAAATGGATCGGAGAGAGTGCTTCAGGTGGTGGGTTTTCGCTTGGCAAGCCTACGCCCGATAAATCATCATTATCAAAAGCAGTACATCAGCCATTCGACCAGAAGCCTCGCTGCCGTACAACGGTGACCTACGGAACGAAGGACAATAAGAGGGAGAGAAGAGGGACGTGCAGTAAAAACGGTAATGCACTCAATAAACACTCGGGGTGAAGATGCCTACACCTTGTATTAACAACATACCAACACAAACAGCTGGCTATCGCGCAAAGATAAAGCAGCATCGGCGAGACAACTTCCTTGCGGCTTTCAATGCCCGGCGCCATAATCAGCCATTACGCCGAAGACAACTCAACACCACACACACACTTTAAACATAGAGACCAAATTGGAAACGACAGAAGACACGCCACTAGTGTCGATGGTGAGCCATGTCCTGTAAAGTCTCGAGTCAAACACAAGGCGAGTCACGTGGACTCCAGTCCGGAAGGCGAGACGGACCAACGACACCGAGTTTCGTTTTCAGTGATTTCATTTCCTGCTGTCAAGTCACCTTTTGTCCACCTCGAGCCCTGCGCCACCCTATATCTGGCAAGCAAATCAACACCCTCCTCGGTAAGCGGTTGCCAGGCATATGCAGTATGTACCCAAGCCCACGAAACTTATCCAGTGCTATCTGTTGTTCTAAGGAACTCGCTTACCCACATCATTGTTGCGGGCACGCTGGTGCCATCCTACAACATTAGCGCTACGCAGACGAGGATAAGCAAAAACTTGAAGGCGGCGCAGGTCATCAGATCAGAGGGACCAAGTCTCACTCCCACAGAGTAGGACAGCGCTTACTATGGCCTTGTATACACGGTCTTTTAGACGGAGAGAAACCCCACTCTGTTGACAAAGATGTCGCAGATTCGAAAAGGCAGTTCTAGCATTTGCAATGCGTGAACTGATTTCAGTTGCTGTGTGCCCATCGTTGCTGATGCAGCTGCTAAGGTAGGTGAAGTGATCAACTACCTAGAGTTCCGCACCATCAAGTGGCTGATGATCCTGTGACAGCACTTTGCACTTTGAAGGTGCGATAAGTATGCCATGTTACTCAGGGTTTAGCGCGCTGCTCCAATATCGTTGAAAAACAGGACAATATCGTCCATATAAACAAGATCAACTAGCCTTTCAACAGACAGCACTTCAGCACGTGCATCGTGAGGCTCCGAAAGGGAACAATCCCTGATGCAGTCCACGACAAAGTTGAACAAAAGTGGGGAAATTGGACAATCTTGACGAACGCCACTTGTTGTCGGAAAGGCATCTAAAAAGTCACCGTAGACCTTGACGCGACCTGTGCTGCTTCAGTGCAGGGCACATAAAATGTTCACATCTTTCATGGGAACACCTTTCCGCGCAAGTATTTCGGACAGAGTGCATCGATCGACTGAGTCGAACGCACTGTTGAAGTTTAGGAGCACAACTATTGTCGGCCTGCGGTACGTGTGGCACTGCTCCAGCACCTGTTGCAGAGTGAATATGTGGTCTATACAATTCCGACTTGGGCAGAAGCCTGCCTACTCTTACCTAATCCGTGATTTTCGCTCCGTAATGAGACGACGAACGAGAAGGGAGGAAAGAAATTTTGTCCCTACCGGCGTAAGGCTAATATCCCTGCGGTTAGCACAATCGATGCGACTACCATTCTTGTATATCGCCACTACAATTGATTTACTCCAATCAGCTGGTCTCTGCCATTCAGATCGGTTCGAACAAAGAGATCAGTGAGCGCAAAGGACTTCATTACCCTCCTTAACTAATGCGGGTGCGAGGGAATCCGGGATAGCGGCACGAAAACGAATAAGGGCTGCGATCGCGTTTCGGATCTCACCCACCGACGGAGTCTCTAAACTAGCTGGCCATGGCTCAGCATGCAACATCTGAATAGGAAGAGGTCCAGACACAAGGGGACAACTGAACTGTTTTCGAAAGTGCTCCGCCTAAAGAGCCATATGGCGCTCTTTATGGTGAATCAGAGCACCCGCCCTGTCCGTGATTGTTTCACTGATGCCTAGTTTTCTGGAATCAGTAGTGCGGATCAGCTGAAAAAGCATGTGATAATTGTCTACCGCTCCTGTTTTCTCCATTTCTTGAGCCTGACTGGTCCACCAGGTTTCTTTTTCAGCACGTATGCACCGCTTTAGTTCGGGCCTAATAG